AAGAATCCCTTCGATCTTTTATTGGCAGATTCAATGCGATAGTTTCTCGTGCACCGTGAGTGACGAGACATCGATCTCGGCCCTTCGAAATGCTCTCCAAATTGACACGAAGTTTCGGGACAGCCTCAATTTCAGCTCCCCTCAAACTCTCGAAGATGCGCTTCACCGCGCCACCTTGTATATCGAAGACGAGGAAGAGAAGACGACGGTACCCACCGAGCAGCTTCTGCCTCTTCCCCCAACGAGCGAGCAAGCCAACAACGACCTCAGAAAGAGAGATCGGGGTAACCAACCTCGAGGCGACACTCCTCCGGCATCTTGAAAAAAGGTGTTCATGATTATGGGAGGCTTATCAACATGCAATGATTCCGTTCGATCGATAAAAAAGTACGGCCGGCAGGTCATGTTTGCACAAAAATAGCGAGTAAAAGGTCCCAAGGCTACTGAAAGCGATGCGATCGCGTTCTCCGAGGCCGACACGGAGGGAGTCGACATGCCACACAACGACCCGCTTGTGATCGAGCTGCGGGTAGCAAATTGCGAGGTGTCGCGGATATTGGTTGATACAGGAAGCTTAGTAGACCTGATTTTCAAAGAGACTCTCGATAAGATGGAACTGGCAAACCATCATCTCAAGTCCTCAGTTAAGCCACTCACCAGATTTGATGGAGATACGGTCTACTCGATCGGAACGATTAGACTCCCGGTTTACGCAGCGAAGACAACCCGCCTCGTCAAATTTGTCGGCATCGACAAACCTGCCATCTATAACGTAATTCTGGGAACACCCTGGCTACAATCCATGAAGGTGGTGCCATCAACCTATCATCAATGCCTCAAGTTCTCAGCGTTCGGGGTAAAAACTATTCGGGGATCCCAAGAGATGTCGAGACTCTGCTTCGCGGCCGAACACAAACTCCGATTCAAATCCATGGTTCCAGCCAAGGCGTGCCTCACGATCTTACCCGCAACTCAAGTCGATTTACCATCTCATGAAGGACCCAAGCAAGACCTCGTCGTACAAGTAAACATCGACGAAAGCGATCCCGAACGATGCGTAGGAATCAGAGCCGACCTAAAAGAAGAGATCATTGTTGAGCTCGTCAGACTCCTTCACCGAAATGCATCGACGTTCGCCTGGTCGGTACGCGATATGCCTGGGATCGATCCCGCGATAACAAGTCACGAGCTCAATATCGACCCTACATTTAAGCCGATCAAGCAAAAAAGGAGAAAGTTAGGTCCGGAAAAGGCCCAAGCTGTCAATGATGAACTCGAGCGTTTGTCGAAGGCTGGCTCAATCGTCGAGGTTAAATATCCGGAGTGGTTAGCAAACCCAAATGTTGTCAAAAAGGCGTGCCCTAAGGATAGTTTCCCCTTGCCACATATAGATCGAATCGTCGAGGCGACTGCAAGGAACGAGCTCTTGTCATTCATGGATGCCTTCTCCGGCTATAATCAGATCACGATGCTTCCCGAAGATTGCGAAAATACGTCCTTCATCACTGACCGAGGGACCTACTGTTATAAGGTGATGCCATTCGGCTTGAAAAACGCGGGCGCGACATACCAACGACTAGTTAACCACATGTTTGCTGACCTGTTGGGACGAACGATGGAGGTTTACATCGACGATATGCTGGTAAAGTCACTTACCGCCGGTGATCACATTGGTCATCTACAGGCCTGCTTCACTGTCTTGAATCAATATCAAATGAAGCTCAATCCGACTAAGTGCACCTTCGGAGTTACATCCGGCGAATTCCTAGGCTACATCGTCACTAAACGAGGAATCGAGGCAAACCCGAAGCAGATCGACGCCCTAATCATCCTCCCATCACCTCGCAATACTCGTGAGGTCGAACGCCTTACCGGCCGGATTGCGGCACTCAACCAATTCATCTCACGTTCTACAGATAAATGTCTTCCGTTCTATCAACTCCTCCGAGGCAATAAACATTTCGAGTGGGATAACAAGTGCAAGGAGGCATTCCAGCAACTGAAGGAATACCTCGCAAGCCCACCAATTTTAGCAAAACCTGAAACGGGCGAAACCTTTTACCTCTTCATCGCGTTATCGAGCTCGGCAGTGAGCGGAGTCTTAGTCAAGGAGGATCGAGGCGAGCAGAATACCAATTTTCTACGTCAGTAAAACTCTGGACGACGCAGAAAAACGTTATCCAACATTGGAGAAACTCGCACTCGCGGTCATCATGTCCGCCAGAAAGCTACGACCCTACTTCCAATCTCACTCAATCGTCGTCTTGACAAATCAGCAACTTCGAACAATACTACACAGCCCGAGCCAGTCAGGTCGCATGGCGAAGTGGGCTGTCGAGCTGACGGAGTATGACATTGAATATCACAATAAGACAAGCGCCAAATCGCAGGTCCTCGCGGATTTTCTGGTAGAGCTTCCCCCGGAGTTAATCCAGACCGACCTCCCTGACAAGAAGTGGTCTTTATACGTCGACGGATCTTCCTCGTCCCGAGGTGCAGGTATTGGCATCTAATTAAGAATCCCCGACAAAAGAGATATTGGAGCAATCGTTCCGGCACGAATTTCCAGCCTCCAATAATGAAGCAGAGTACGAGGCTCTACTTACGAGACTTCGTCTAGCCCAAGGGATCGGAGTTAAGAAAATCGAAGCTTTCTGCGACTCCCAGTCGTTGCTAGCCAATACAGCAGCGACTACGACACCAGGAACGACCAGATGGACTTGTATTTTAAAGCCGTCAAGAATCTCACCGATCGCTTTGAAACTTTTTCCCTCACTAGAATCCCGAGAAGCGACAACACTTCCGCAGACGCACTGGCCGCTCTCGCTTTGACGTCTGAATCACATCAAAGGCACGTTATCCCAGTCGAAAGCATCAACACCCCCAGCATCATCTTGCCTCGAGGAGTATGTGCCGTTCGAGAGCTCGAAGCGAACAGCATAGACGCCAATGAATTGCCTCTCCCCGCTATCGTCGATGAGCCTGCCGAAATGGAACTATCGATAGACGACTGGAGGATCAAAATCCTGGTCTACGTTACGGATGGCCAAGTCCCACCCGACCGATGGGCAGCAAGACGTCTTAAAGTTCGAAGCGCCAAATACGTCCAGTCGCACGACAACCTCTACCGATGGAGTTCGACAGGAGCCCTGCTCAGTTGCCTGCACGGCGAGGAGACACAAGATGTCATGAAAGAAACACATCAGGGAGCGTGTGGAAATCACTCTAACGGTCGAGCTCTCGCTCTAAAAATCAAAAATCACGGCCACTTTTGGCCGACAATGCTAACAGACTGTGATCGATTCGTAGCTCGCTGCGAGCAATGTCAACGACACGCACCGATGATCCACGCACCAGCCGAACTCCTCGCCGCCTCCTCGCCACCTTATCTCTTCATGCGATGGGTGATGGACATCGTAGGTCCACTTCCCCGATCCCGAAAGAAATGATTCATACTTATCATCACCGATTACTTTACGAAGTGAGTCGAGGCCGAATCTTACTCCAAAGTCAAAGCAACTGATGTGAAGAACTTCGTCTGGAAAAACATAATCTGCCGCCACGGACTCCATTACAAGATCATCACCGATAACGGTCCTCAGTTCATCTCCGACGTATTCAAAGACTTCTGCGCCAAATGGAAAATACGGCTAAGCAAGTTAACACCACGATACCCACAAGGGAACGGACAAGCCGAGGCAACCAACAAAACTATCCTCGACGGTATCAAGAAGAGACTCGAAGATAAGAAAGGCTTATGGGCAGACGAGTTAGAAGGAGTTCTCTGGTCACACCGAACTACACCGCGCCGATCGGCGAACAAAACTCCTTTCTCGTTGTCTCACGGTATGGAAGCTTTAGCTCCTGCCAAGGTCGGTCTACCGAGCATTCGCAGAACAATGTTGACACAAGACGGCAAAACAAACGGAAGAATGATGAATGATAGCCTCGACATGCTCGAGGAGGAGCGAGATCGCGCTTTATTACGCATGCAAAACTATCAGCAGCGGATCGCTCGTTACTACAACAAACGGGTGAAAGTTAGACACTTCGAAACTGGCAACCTCGTCCTTCGCAAAGTGTTTGAAAACACCGAAGAAGACAGAGCCGGAAAACTGGGCGCAAAGTGGGAAGGCCCCTACCAGATCACCAACGTCGTAAAACTAGGCGTTTACGAGCTTATAACAATGGACGGTGAAATGATACCTCGATCATGGAACTCGATGAACATTAAGCGGTACTACTACTAACAAAAAAAAAAAGGACGCTCACCGAGCTATACTCGGTCGAGCTAGATCTCAAATATGAACTACGATCGGCTTGATCCCAGTCTGTTGGGTACGTAGGCAACCTCTTACGATGTACAGCAATTAATAAAGTTTACTTTTTACCAAATTTTTACATCGACATCTTTTACATCGACATCCTAGCTAGATGTTCGATCTCCAAATACGCATTTCCCTACAATGCAATCTCTTAACAAGTTCTAAGGAACAAAAACCTTACGATTATAAGAGAATAAGTCGGGACCATTCCCGCATCCTTTCTTAAATCACCCGAATAATTACGTTGTGAGCATTCTCACTACTCAGACACGATTAACGAAATAAAACATGGTAAGCCGAGTCATACCTCGCACCTATTGTTCTATTATGCCGAGTTTCACCTCGCAACTATTATTCTATTAAGCCGAATTTCACCTCGCAACTATTGTTCTATTATTCCAAGTTTTATCTCGCACCAGTTGTTCTATTAAACAGGTTCTACCTCGCACAAGCTATCTTGTTAAACAGATTTTCACCTCGTCCTAATCGTTTTGTTATGCCTAGTTCTATCTCGCATCTATTAGCCTATTACGGTTTAAATCAATGTGACTTTCATTATACAATAAAAACTTTCATTAAGAAAAGCGATCCGGGAAACGTTACAAGTGAAAGACTAAAGAAACAAAATACAAAGACAACGAGGTAAGACAACAACAAAGACAAGAAGATCTATCCCTAAGATTGAGCATCACAGTCGAAGTCTTCTCGATGCTCGGCGCCATCGTAGTGCGAGCCACCACTTGGGGTTTCGGTATAAGGCGGAGGCAAGTCGTCCTCCTCGAGATCGGTGAGACTGAGGTTCTCCAGCTTTTGTTCGCAGTCGCGCTTCGATGATTCAAGTTCGGCTCTTAGCTCCGTTTCGGACATCTCTTTCTCCTTCAAAAGATCGAGGCACTCCAGTGTACCTCGGGCTTGAACGAGATCGAGATTTACTTGCTCAATCGCCTCTTGTTGTGCAACACAAGTCCTCAGCCGATCGATGTGACCTGAATACTTAGCCGCAGCATCAGCCCAAATTCGAGTAGTCTCTGTCTCGATCTTCTCTTGGGCGTGATGCTTTGCGCAAGCGACCTCGATAGCGATCGACTTCTCAGCTTGGATCTTAGCCTCGTTAACCAATTGAAGATTCTTGACTAAGTCCACATTTTCCAATCTCATCGCCTCGATCTTCTCGGTCAACTCCTTTACCCCGGCATCCAGATGCTCCGCTTTTCTTTTCATGGTTTGCCAATTGTCTTCGGCAACCCTCCGCTGAGCAATGGTGGCATTGCGTTCAGCCACTGACCGGCAGTCTGGGCATTCTTCAATCGAGTCGCGGCATTCTGAAGCCAGCGCATGTATTGGCCCCTCGTGCGATTGCAGCTCGCGATAAACTGAACAAAAAGAACAAGGAAACCGTCTGAATCGAACTCACACTGTAAACACAAATGTCGGATGGAAATTCCAAACATACTTTGAAGGCGAAGCTCGCCATTTCCTTGAAAGCCGCATCGGAGCCAGCAGGAACCTCAGTGGTAGATCCCCTTATCTTCCCGAAGAGCTCAGCACACTTGTCAGTGTTGTTGACGAATGGTTTGCTCGACTCAGGGTACTCGAATGAGAAGCTCCAGTCGACTTCTTTGACCTTGTCACCGCCAGACGGAGCAACCTTCGCTCGTTTACTCGCTTCCTCGCCACTGGCCTGACCTCCGTCCATCTCTTCTCCAGCAGAAGGCTCCTTCCTTTTTCCTCTCGCCTTAGCCTTGGCGACCTCTTCCTTCTCCTTCTGTTGAGCCAGACGAGCGGCTTCAGCTTCTTCCTTCTTCTCCTTCCTCTTCTTGTCCTTCTTCTTCTTCTTCTTATGCTTCTTCTCCACCTTCCTCGCCGATCTCGCGGCTTTGTCTGACTCTTCCTCCGTTTGATGACTCTCCTCTTGATTCTGAGCATCGAGTACGGGGTCGTGTTCAGCGACCTGAGTCTCAATCTCGCCCTCAGCGACAGGATCGAGGTTTGCATCATGTTGAGGAACGACCTCAGCATCCATCTGAACCGTCTGCACATGATCCGAACGCTCAGACCGAGAAGCAGAAGCCTGTTGATCCTTCTTCTTGCTCTTTTTGGCCTTGAGACGTGCGGCAAAGCCGGGTGCATTCACTTGAATTGGAGCCATCGCGATCGATCTCTCCCTTTGAAGGTTTTCTCTCCTCCAACTAGCTGAAACAAATTAACGTGTTAGACGAAGTTAACTATAAAAAGAATGCCGACAACATCGAACCTACCGCTTGTAATGCCATTAATGGCAGCCTCGACTCTCTGACGATGAATGTCAGGCCACTTCTGAATGCCACAGGATCTGAGCTTTTGGAGATTCTCGAAGTAATCTTCTGGGTAGGTGTCGAGGTTAACGTTTCGATCTGCAAAAAAGAATTAAGACGTAAGTAAGATATAAAGAGAAAACCAAGAATCGATCAAACTAACGATCTACCAATGCTCCGGCTCCTTTCGCTTCAAAAATTTCTAGTCGTGTCGACGACCAACGACTCGTCGATCTTGGCGTAGAAGAAAGACGCCTCCTAATTTGACTTCCTATTCACGGGGTAGATGAGAGAACAATTCTTCCCGGCTTTGATGGTATAAGTACCCGGGATCGAGTTATTCCTCTGAACAGTGGTCATCTCTTCGAAGAAGCGCCAGTCAACATTAACCCCAACCTCGCTCCCAAAAAGAAGGGCGGCGACCATATATCGGATTCCCGCTTGAAGAATCTGCGAGAGAGCGATGCCTCGCCGGTCTGCGTAATCCGTCAGTAGCCTCGGCAACGGAACCCAAAGATGACACATGCTGAACCAGGCTTCGTATAGCGTGACCCAACCGTCCGGAGCTCGCCATGGACGATAATCAGGACCCGGCGACCTAAGCTCGCAGCAAAAACCGTAGACCGCCCGCACCTCTTCAAGGCGCTCAATCGTCATCCGAGATCTGATGTCCACCAAACGATTTTTGATGTTCGCCGTACGTTAGGAACCATTCCTCCGAGGTTTGGTTTGATTGTCTTCCTCCTCGTCGTCCTCCTCGACCTCATCCTCGGCCTGTTCTGCAGCATCCCCTTCGCGGGAATCTTCTTCGAGATCGACTATTTGAGGATTCGAAGCCTCGCATTGCGAGGACGCACCATCGGGCCGAACTCGATCGGCCAATTCAATGAGCGGCGACTCCTCTCGATCCGATTGATTTTCAGACCTCAAGCACGCCTCGGGTGAGGAGCTGTCATTCACAGAAACCTCCTGGTCCGACTCAGAGCCAGACTCCAAGCTCGACTCAATCCGTTGTTTCCCCAACGCCATCGTCGATGTCAAAATGTGATAAAAAAGCACGATGATCGGAGAAATCAAACCGCAAAAAGGAAAACGGACACGGCAGAAGAGATGAATTCTAGAGAGAGAAAGAATAATTCTAGAGAGAAGGGAGAGCGAAGTTACCTTTTGTCAACGGAAAAGAAAATGAGAAGAAGGGAAGGAGAGCAGAATATATAAAGAAAGAAGTAGCGGTTACCGAGGAAGGTAATAATGACTCGGACGCGCCCCAATAATTAAATTAAGTGCAGATTCACGCGCTTCTCGAAAAATCGGATCCCCACTCGCGACTCTTCATTAGTCATGATAACGGTCATCTGCAACGCTTCAACTTCCAAGTATTACCTCGTCTCGAAGATCTTGCAATCAATGTTGAGGCCCTAAAGTTTAAAGAACCCATAACTCGAGGAGTTGAATATCGATGTAACATCTCCATCAACGGACTAGGGGGGACAATTGTTGTATGTGGGCTGAGCACAGCCCCCTTTTAGGAACTTCGATCAAGCCCATTAGCTGGTTGATAAAGCCGAACGGAATCGAAAGTGGATAAGGGCCCAATCGCCAAGCTGAAACGAGGTCGTTCAAGAGACGAGCTTCACAAGTTGAAGGAGCAGCTCGCCACGTCGATGCAGGTGGAACAGCTCGCCACGTCGACGTAGGCGAAACAGCTCGCCACGTCGACGTAGGTGAAACAGCTCACCAGCACGACACTTAGATAGACGGTCGGCCAGGTCTATCTGTCCTGCCGCCCAATCTACTCTGACCGAATTGTAACCTACTTTGAACACTATAAATAGCCCTGTAACTTCATTTATTACGGGATCCGTAATATGAAATAAAGACTAAATATTTGATACTTGCGAACATTAACTCTCACCTCGCTTAGTAGACCTCGCTTAAATCATATCAAGCTCACCTCTATCTAAACAAGAATCTCCGAGCTCCCTTTAATAACATTTATCTAATTGACCTCGTGTGCGGATACTAATCAACACTGACCCAAAATCGTTGTATGTTTATTTTTTTGTAATCCATGTATAAAATACAATCGACCTATTTCTGTGAATTTCTTAAGTAATTAAGTAAATTTACTTAAAATAGTTCTTAGTCTAATGGTAAAAAAGGAAAAACTTCCCCCCCAATTAAGTCAAATGTTCTTAGTTTAAATTATGCCCTCATCTAAAATATTTCTAGACCCAACTCGTTGTTTTATGTTTCTATTTATAAAATGTTTTCTTATCAGTTATCGCATGGGATTTTATCAAAGAAGCTCATATTTGATAGTATCTTGATCTTTAAGTGTGTTCTTCTTGCAAAAAATAATCGATGACTTGAAACCAATCCTCTTCTTATATTAGGGAGCCAAAGTTGAATCTTTTCATTGCTTTTAACTTTTACAGAAGTGTCTTCATCTATCTAATTTTAGAGATGTACCTGAAAGCTGATAACCTTTCTTGAGTATTAACAGAGAATGTACAACGGTTAATATAGCGTGAGAGGTTAAACAAAATCAGGGATCAATCCCTATAATCAAGGTCGTTACAAAACTATATTCACAAAATAAGGTAACAGAATATCTTGCACATCTTTAACTTCTATCATCCTCCCACAGTCACAACGTCGAGTTTGCTGACGGTGAGGCTGGAACACAATTCATTATGAATAGAAGTCGGAAGTCCCTTGGTGAAGATGTCGGCGTATTGTAGCGATGTCGGCACGAAATAGAGGAAACTCAAATCAGTTGTTCGGGACGATAGATGCAGATTTAGTAAGTGAATACTCTAGCTCCTTAGCTAGCAATAGTAGTATTAGAAAGTGAGAGATAGGCCTACAGTTGAATGTAGATATCATTAACGCGAGGTGTAGGATACCAGGCCGATGGTGCGAGGCTGTCTCAGTGGCTGTGTGGGAGGGGCGGAGATGGTGGTGTTTGGTGGCTGAGCTGTGGGAAATGGAGCCTGAAGAATCGATTTAAATACCGGAGAGGTATAATCGAGTTCGTCGAGAAATTTGTATGTTTCTTTAGGGACAGGTTTTTCCGCAGCAGGGAAGATATCTTTGTCGAAAATTGACATGACGAGAGATAAGATTTTCTTGGTTTTTAAATCCATACATCTGTAGGCACAATCTTGAGAAGGATAACCAAGGAATAAACACGGAGTGATTCTCGGGCAGAGTTTTGTGAGGTTGGAATGATTGAGGTTTGGAAAGCATAGACATCCGAAAACCTTTAGGTGATCGTATTTTGGTTGCTTTTGAAAAAGAAGAGTGAATGGAATTTGATTTTGAATGCCTTTAGAAGAGATAATGTTGAGGTTATGAGTAGCAATATGAAGGGCTTCTACCCAATAGCAAGAGGGCAGACGGGCTTAGAACAAAAGGGTCTGAATTGCATTGTTTATCTTTCGGATCATTCTTTCTGATTTGCCATTTTGCTGAGAGGTATGAGGGCAAGAAAATCAGACATTGATGCCATTTTGGGTGAAGTAGTGGTGGAAATTTTCATTATTGTATTCTCTGCCATTGTCACATTGGAATTTTTTGATTTTGGTGTGGAACTGGTTTTAGACATAAGCATAGAAATGAAGAAACTTTGAGAAGACATCACTTTTGCGACGGATTGGGTATACCCAGAGAAATTGAGTAAAGTGATCGAGAAAGAGGAATGCCGCTCATGCTGGGAATTGGTGATGTCCAAAGGTCGGAATGAATGATGTTGAATGGTTTTGTGACATGAGAATTAGATGCAACAAAAGGGAGTTTTATTGATTTGCCCAAATGGCATGATTTGCAAGAGAAATGAACTTTGCATTTATTACATAAATCTGGACACTACAAGAAAATAATCGTTTTCCAACGGTCCATTACGACGGTTTTCAAATCGTCGCAAAATTACAACGATTTTAAGACGATTTTACGACGATCTTACGTCTAATTTTAAAACCGTCGTAACACCGTCGTATAAAAAAATCGTCGTAAACTCGACGTACAATTTACGACGAATTACGACGATTATACATCGATAACGAGAGATTTGCTAATAAATGTAAAATCGTCGTAAATTCGATGCAAAATTACGACGAATATACGACGAGTGCATTTCGATGTACATATTACGACGATTTTACGTCGAAAAAGAAGTTAGGTGAAAAACATTTAAAACATGTTTACCTAACAATTGTAGATGAAAGATTTTATCGCATAATCGTCGTAAACTCGTCGTAATATTATTGTTGAATGTAAAACCGTCGTAAAAAGTCGTCGTAAAAGCGTTGTAAAGCCCGAAATTTTCCTATAAATAGATCTTCATTCCTTCATTCAATCACAACACAACATCATTCAAACATAAGAGCATCTTCATCTTGGAGACCCATTGTAGGTCTCTTAAATTTTAGTATAGTGTTGTAAATCCTTATATATTGGGTTGTCCATTGCTGGAAACCCGAATTAAGAGTTATATTACTTTGAAAAAAAGAAGTAATAATATTATAAGGTTAATTACTCCATTCACGTGGCTAGACGTGACACAAGAGACCACCTCCTTTATTTTCTAATCAATAAAAAGAGATATTATTTTGAGTTTATTTTCAAGATGTCTATATACGAGCTAAGAAGTTGGATGTATATGCGTAAAGATTCAGATGGGGCGTTGACAGAAGAGTTCAAGAACGGGTTAGAAATATTTATGTTTCAGGCTACAAATATGGAGAGAACGAAAGATAGTGGGAAGATATTTTGTCCTTGTTTGAAATGCAAGAATACGAGGTATACACTAACCAAAACCGTGTGGACGCATTTATTAAATAGAGGGTTTATGCCGCAATATTTTGTTTGGTATCTACATGGAGAAGGATATGGCAGTAATACTCATGGGAATGCTGGTAGTAGTAGTAATTATCAAAGTCATGTTGATATTGATGAATCGAATTATGGTCATCAGCCTAATCAGTATCAATATGATCAAAGTGTAGATCATGATAGGATGCACGAAATGGTGACTGATGCATTTCATGAAACCCATACTGGTAATGCTGTTGAGGAACCTAATGTAGATGCCAAACGATTTTATGATTTGTTAGACAATGCTAATCAGCCAATCTACGAAGGATGTAGAGAAGGCTTGTCTAAATTATCGTTGGCAGCTAAGATGATGTCAATTAAAACAGATCATAACCTGGCTGAGGTTTGCATGGATGATTGGGCTGATCTTCTGAAGGAGTATCTACCGGAGGATAACTTGGCAGCGGGAACATACTATGAAATTCAGAAGTTGATTTTTAGTCTTGGTCTACCTTCTGAGATGATAGATGTATGTGTTGACAACTGTATGATTTTTTGGAAAGATGATAATCAGCTGGAGGAATGTCGATTTTGCCATAAACCAAGATACAGGCCGCAAACTGGTGGGTGTAAAAGGATACCGTACCAACGTATGTGGTATCTCCCTATAACTGATAGGTTAAAACGGCTTTATCAATCTGAAAGGACAGCTGCATCAATGAGATGGCATGCAGAACATACACAAAAAGATGGAGAAGTTTTTCATCCATCAGATGCAAAGGCATGGAAACACTTCAATATGGTATACCCAGATTTTGCTAAGTTCAAACGGAATGTCT